ACACACACACACACACACACACACACACACACACACACACACACACAGCATGCCTTAAAGCAGTCAGAAGATTACTTAAACAACTATGAAAAGGGCTTTATTGTTTATTTTCTTAAGCATGGATTTTTGTTGCAACCTTTTGTTTTTGCATTGTTTGTTTTCCCTCTGTATCCCTCTCCGCCTACTTGTCCTCCAAATTCTCCTTCTCCAATTACCCCTCCTCCTCCCCTCCTTCTCCCTCCTTTTCTTTCTCCAGTAAATGTTAACTATTATTACTATATACCCACGTCCTCTTTCTTTGATCTCATAGAAGTATGAACCTAGTAATGGTATTGCTGGATCAAAGGAACAGATTAGTGACTTTGAGGACACAGTTCCAAATTACTTTCCAGAATGGTTAGAACTATTCACAGGTCAACCAGCAGTGCATTGGTGTGCCTGTTTTCCTTCAGCTCCTCCAACAACTGTCATTTTCCTTTTTTGACATCTTCTCCAATCTTTACCATCTTCACCACCTGACTTCTTCACATCATTATCACCACCAGTGGTTATGAGCTGGAATCTCAGAGTTTAGTTTGCATTTCTCTAATTACTAGTGATTGGGAATTTTTCATATGGCTGTTGATATCTTCTACCAAGAAACTACCTATTCTATCATTTCTTTTTTTAAAATGCAGACAAGAGCACAGAAGGCCAGAGAAGCATGGACATGCAAGACAGCTTTGACAGCTACAAGATGAACTGATTACATAATTTAAAAGAAAAGCAAGCTATAAATATATATAACAAAAAAAGGATTGTTTAGTTTCATGTACAATTTCTTTTTTTGGTATATATGTGGTAATGCCCATTTTATTTGCTGTTTGTTAAGGTCAGAATTAAATATGAAAAAAGGGAACTGTTTTTTTCAAATACTTTGTTAACTGCATTGGTTTTGTTTGAACAAAATCTTTCTAACTTTACATAATTGAAACCGTTCATTTTATCCTCTGTGATCTTCTCTATCCCTTGTTTCAGTATTCATTTTCTTTTTTTAGAGGCAATCAGGGTTAAATGACTTCCCCACAGTAACACAACTAGTGAGTGTCTGAGGCTGTATTTGAACTCAGGTCCTCTTGAGTGTAGGGCTGGTGCTCTATCCACTGCACCACCTAGCTGCCCCTCTTTTTCACTTCTGTCATGATGGTTGTTTTTTTCTTTTACATTGTTGTTGTCATAGTACATATTTATTTTTCTAGCTCTGTTTACCACCTACCTATAAGGCATTTCATTAAGGGCTAAGGATACACAGACAAAAAATGAAATGTACTCTCCACCGTTAAGGAGTTTACATTATACACAGCCCCTGAGGAGGCTTCAACAAATACTTGGATGCGCTGATTGAATACTTTGCTCTTGCCACTGAGCCAAAGGTGACAGCACTTAACCTGGCTGCCACAGTTTCCTCATCAGTAAAATGGGGATAATAATAGCAATACAAATTTTTAAATGTAATTTTTTCCCCATCTAAGGTCAAAGACTCCTTGAAATCTATCCATGGATCCTTTGGGGGTTTTGTAGAACTGAAGTGAAGAACTTCAAATTCTTGATCTTAGGATCCTACATGCCTTTGTACATACCAATTCTTCCATGGTTATTTGGCTGTATTAGCGCATGATTAACTATCAAAGTGATAATTTTTTTGTTTTAATTTTTATTGATATCTTTTGTTTTTACATGACCTTCCCCAACCTTCTCCTAAAAAAGCTTAATTTTTATGTCATGCTTTAGATGCTGAATTTCATAAATGAAGATGATGATTCAGACATATTCTAGAGGGCATGGGCCTTGAGTTATTTTTCCAGTAGGGGAAAGATTGGTTTCTGTATAGTAATCATGATCCTTATTAAGTTAGAGTTTCAAGAGACATGATCAATCATTCAATCCAATACCCCATATTTTATAAATTAAGCCCAGAAAAATTAAGTGACTTATACAAATTTACAGAGGGGGTAGCATGGCTGGGTTTTGAACACATTTCCTGTGATTTCAAATCTAACATTCTTTCTGAATAACTACCATGTATATTTTCTATACCAGTCTATCTAGAGACAAGTTCTTTGATTACTTTTTATTTTGTTTTGTAATTAACATAAACTGATTTTCTCTTTCTCTTACTCCCAATTTAAAAGAGAGGGGGAAAACCCTAGTAATAAATATGCATAGTCAAACAAAACAAATTCCTATTTTGTTCATGTCCAAAAATGCATGTTTCATTCTGTCTCCTGAATCTATCATCTCTCTGTCAGGAGATGGCGAGCATAGTTTATCATCATCAAGTCAAGCCAAATCGATCCACGTTTGTTAAATATTTACTATATGCCAGGCATTCTGCAAGCACTGGAGATACAAAGAAAGACAAAGATCAGTTTCTGCCCTCTAGGACCTTATTATATAAAGGGAAAGATAACATACAAACAACTACGTACAGATAAGATAGATATCTATGACAAACTGAAGAAAATCTCAGAGGAACCCCATCGGAAATAAGGGGAGCCTCAGTCCTCTGGTCATTGCATTGGCAGAGTTCTTATGTCTATCAAAATGTAATTGTCTTTATCATTGTATAAATTGTTCTCCTGGTTCTGCCCCCTTCACTTTGCATCAGGTCACAAAAGTCCTCCCAGGCTTCTCTGAAATGGTTCCCTTTGCCATTTTTTATAGTGCAATAGTATTCTATTACATTCATATGTCATAATTTGTTCAGCCATTCATGATCAGTTATTTTTTGAGATTGCTTGTGAAGGAGAGAAATGGGGTATATATTCTGTCTGGGGAACAAAAGAAAGTTGACCACATGGGGTTCACAGACTTGTAAAGTATTACAGTGGGAAAAGACTTTAAATGATAAAGAGGCCAATCCTTTCATTTTACAGATGAGGAAATAGAGGCCCATAAAAATGAAATCACTTTGATCTCACGGTCATGGCCCCTTTAACACTATGCTAACCCACTGAACTAATTAGCCACAGAATCAGTGTATATGTATATATGTGTGTGTTTATATGTATGTATTTATGTATATATATATGTGTGTACATACACCCCTCCATACTCTATGATCTAACCATAGTGGCCAGCCTACTGTCTCTTGCACATGACCCTCCATCTCCATCCTTATTCCTAGGCACTGGCTCTCCTCCAGCCCTCCAATGCTTTCTTATCTCCATGGGGTACTTTATCTGGCTTTCTTTAAGCCTCAGCACAAATCACACCTCCTACCTGTCATGGTGCCTTTCCCTTCGGGTGTCGTTCAGTCGTGTCTGACTCTTTATGATCCCATTCGGGGTTTTCTTGGCAAAGATATTGGAGTGGTTTGCCATTTCCTTCTCCGGCTCACTTTACAGATGAGAAACTGAGGCAAACAAGGTTAAGTGACTTACCCAGGGTCATACAGCTAGTAAGTGTGTGAGATCACATTTGAATTCAGAGCTTTCTGATTCCAGATGCAGCTCTCTCTGCACTATGACACCACCTAGCTGCCCCTGGATTACTTAGGGTATCTTATAAGTACCTAGTTATTTTCAAGTTTGTCTCACTGGTTAAAATATGAGCTCCTCAAGGGCAAAGGGCCTGTTTTTGTTTTTCGTTGTATCCCCGACACTTAGCACAATGCCTGGCACACAGTAAACACTTAATAAAAAGCTCATTCACTGACTGACTTTCTCTATTTTACCTGGACCTTCATCTTCAGTTTTTAGTTTTCATCTTGTGGCTTCTCCCATCCTTCAATTTGATTCAACAAATATCTGACTATCTATCTATCTATCTATCTATCTATCTATCTGTCTATCTATCTATCTATCTGTCTGTCTGTCTCTTTGTCTATTTATCTATCCATTTATTTGTTCATCTATCTGTTTGTTTGGTTTTTGTTTATGTATTTTTATCTTTTACAAAGAAATATTTACTTCAAAGGACATAATCATAAGTGCACAAATGCCTCCCCCAACATTTGGGAGGTATAATCCCCCTCCCTCCTTACACTACCTCAGGTAATGAGGAGAGGAAGGGGATTAGGTTCACAATTTAGCTCATTTCTATAAAGCACAGTCATAAATTCCAAGTCCAAAGTTCCCCTTGGGCTCAAGTCCCAGGTCCCTGGTTTCTCCCAGCTTTCTGCTGAGCTGGCTGCCTGCAATCTTGGCTCCAAGGTCATCAGAGCTCCACAGGTTTTATTAAGTGCCTACTATGTACTCAGTCTTAGGTTAGGCTGCTGGGCATACAAACACCCCAAAAACATACAATGTATTAGCTACTTTTTTCCTTTTAATGTTTAAAGTCTTGTTTTGTTTTGAGACTTATCTGATTATTCAACGAGAGTCCACAATTTCAATACTGTGGAAAGATCTCTAGATTGGAATCAAGAGATCTGGGTGCAAATCCCAGGTCTGTTATTTTCCACCTGTGATCTCACACAATTCACTTTCCTTTTCTGGGCCTTGATTTCCTTATCTACAGAACTGGAGGATCAGATGGTGTCCGAGGTCGCTTCTTGATTGAAATCTGAGATCTGATGATCCCAGTGAACTCAGGGAGGAGAAATCACTGGCCCTTCTCTCTACTCTGTCACCCTATGTAGAGGCGTCAAGGAGGCCTTGTTAGCCACTTAATTGCTCAATTTGGAAGCTTTTAGACACCCTAGGGGGATGTGTGTGTGTGTGTGTGTGTGTGTGTGTGAGTGTGTGTGTGTGTGAGGAAATGCTCCTGCTCTCAACCTCTCTTTCTTTCTCTCTTCTCTCTCCTCTCTTTTCTCTCTTTTTTCTCTCTTCTTTCTTCTCTCTTCTCTCTCCTCTCTCTTTTCTCTCTCTTCTTTCTCTCTTCTTTCTTCTCTCTTCTCTCTCCTCTCTCTCCCTCCCTCCCTCCTCTTTCTCTCTCTCCTCTCTCTCTCTCCTTTATTTCCCTCTCTTCTCTCTCTCTCTCTGCCTTCTTTCCCCCTTCCCCCCTCCATCTCCTAAAAGTTCTCCCAGGACCTGCATCTCCCAGAGGCAGCAGCCCACCAGCCACATTGTATCATTTGAGGAGCATTTTCTCATCCTCACCCTCTGCTGCTATTGGTTCCTTCTGCATGAGCACATGCTTCCCCCTCCCCTTCTTTCCCCCTTCCAGACCATTATCTTCCTCAAAATCGTGCAGGGTGAAGGTGTGAGCAGGGCATCCTCAGCCTGACCTGCAGCCGTTTGCACGGGTTCTTTTTCTGTACTATGAGTGGGACAACATCAGTGGCAATGGAGGATCCTCAGCCCCGGGAAATGGCAGGTAAGAAGAGGTGCCTTTTTTTCCAGAGTTGAGGTGAAAAATATTAGGAATTAGAATAATTCTTATTTTTTCAGACCCCTCCCTCCTCATAAATATACAATAGCTCTGTGGCCTGAAACAGCTTAATTGTGTGTGTGTTCTTATCAGAGCTCAGCCCCAAACCAGCAAACCAGGAATTTAATATTTTAGCCTCAGGAACCCCTGGCTCTAACTTAAGCAGTTATCCTCTGTTAATCACTCCCTAAACCACAGGCTTCTTGGAGATGGCAGAGAATCCCAGCTGTTTCATTCTTTTGTGGGAAAGGATAATTGGATAAGGATTTCTGAGAAGAGCTCCCCATGGGCCAAAACCAACTCTCCCGTGGATGTCCGAAGGATGTTCTAAGCTGTGGCTCTGCAGAACCCGGCTGGACTTCCCAGTCCTTGGGCCCTTTGGGGCTTGGTGTACTGAAATGAGCAGTGAACTTGGGATGAGGAAGAAAGCCCTGGGTTAAAATCTCATCTAACCCTTATAGGTGGTATGGCCGCAGAAAAACTCTCTTTACTTTCTAGAAAATTCCCTCAATCCCACTTTCTAGAAAATTCCCTCAACCTCGCTTTCTAGAAAATTCCCTTAATCTCACTTTCTAGAAAATTCCCTTAACTTCAGTGTCCACATGGATGATAGTAAGAGCACCTGCCTCAATAGAATCAAATGAGATAATATCCCTGAAGTGCTTTGCAAACTTTAAAGCCCATATAAATGTCAGCTGGCAGGAATATTGATAATTATAACCTCTCTGAAGCCTCAATTTTCTTTTGTGCGAAATGGGGCAAATAATACCCCCTATTTGTCAGGGCTACTGTGAGATAATTCCTCTAAGCTTTAAAGTGGCATGGAAATGGTATTATTATTTAATCGGTTATGATACAGATAAATATGTGAAGTATTTGTTAAGTACTTACTCAGTGTGCCCGGCACTGTGCTCAGTGCTGGAGTTACAAATAGTAGTACAAATACTAGATCCCTGTCCTCAAGGAGATCTGAACATTCTAAGAGGGGAGGAGGGTAGCTGGGGAGACCACACTTAAAGGGGAAGGGGGAAGAAGAGGGCACACTTAGCATAGAATGGGGATGGCCAGAAAGTACAGAGGAGGCCTGGATAATCTCAGTCATCAGAGCCCACAGCAGCTCCAGGGTCAGAATCCAAGTCTGGTGAAGAAGAGATAGAGATGGAGAAGGACCCTGCCAAGAGCAGGGCACCTAGGTGGCGCAGTAGGTCTGAAGTCACTAAGACCTGAGTTCAGATGCAGCCTCAGACACTGAACCATGTGACTCCAGGCAAATCATTTAACCCTGGAATCCTCCACTATAAAATGGGGACCATAATGGCACCTACTTCCCAGCGTTATTGTGAGAATGAAATACGGATATTTGTATAGTGCTTAGCACATTGTTTGGCATGTAGTAGGTGCAAAATAAGTGCCTTTTCCCCCTTTCTGTTCCTTTGAAATTCTGTCATGATTGGCCCCAGAAAGTAGAACCAGAAGCACTCGTAGAAAATGCAAAAAAGAAAGTTTAGACTTGTTAGGAAGGTGTGTGTGTGTGTGTGTGTGTGTGTGTATGCATATATATATGTGTGTATATATATATACACACATATCTAACTATCCATCTATCTGTATATATATACTATATATACTATATATAATATACATCTACCTATCTATATATACACATCCCTTCCTAAAATAGTATATATAACAAGATATATATTATATATGTATATATACACATATATATGTATATATACACATGTATATATACACATTAATATGTGTATATATACACACATACATGCACACACATATATATATGCATATATTCTATGTATGTGCTTTATATATTATATATATAGTACATGTATAGAGCTCTCCAAAAGTGAAATAAAAGACCAAGAGGTGGTGGGGTTCCCCTTCCTTAGAGGTCTTCAGACAAAAACTCTATGATCATTTGTCTGGTAGGGTAGAATAGGGATTCTCTTCCCATGTGGATTGGCCTCTAACTCTCAATTTCTGTGTTTGAGCAGCTTGGTGGTACAGTGGATAAAGCATCAGACTTGGAATCAGGAAGACTCAAGTTCACAATCCAGCTTCAGATACTTATTAGCTGTGTGATTCTGTGCAAGTCACTTAATTTTTGCTTGTGTCAGTTCTCCCATCTGTTCAATGGGGATAATAATAGCACCTACTTCCCAGGTTGTTATAAGGCTAAATTGAGATAATTGTAAAGCACTTAGAACAGTGCCTAGCATATGGTAGGCATTATATAAATGTTAGCTATTATTCCTATTATTTCTATGACTCCTGACTCTCAATTTCACATACTAGTGAGTGATTGTTGTGGAATCCCCCCCTCCCCATTAGACAATAGGACTAAAACCCAACTTATAATATATAATATCATATATCATATAATATCATAATATATACATATAATATATATAATATCAAATTATTATAGCAAATAGTTATATTTTGAGACAACATTTTGTCTTCTCATCCCTAGGACTTAGCATAGCACCTTGAACATAGTAAGCATTTAATAAATGCTTGGATTAATTTGTTTGCATAATTTCCATGTCAAGGGTCAAAGGTACCACCTTAGAAATTATCTAGTACAGTACATTTACCAGATGAAAAAAATGAACCTTATTCCTCCTATTGGTTCTAATTTTTACTTACAACATCAATAATGTGAAAATATGTTTAATAGGAATATATATGTATAGCCTATATGAGATTGTGCACCATCTTGGGGAGAGTGATGGGGAGAAAGGAGGAGAAAAATTTTAAACTCAAAAGCATATGGAAGGAATTGTTGATAAATCAAAATAAATTAATAAAAAAATGAACCTTAGGTTTTGGCCCATTGTATTTTTTATGTTAATCATCCATGTAACGGTGGGGATCTAATGTACTTGTTTAGTGCTTTGAGTGTGACTGGATAAAATTGTCACTGACAAGCCATTGGTTAATAATAGCCAGCATTTATATAACACTTTAAGGTTCGAAAAGCAACTCACAGTAACCCTGTGGGTTAGGTGCTGTCATCATCACCATTTTATACATGAAGAAACTGAAGCAGAGAGAAGTTAAGTGACTTGCCCACGGTCACTCAGCTATTATGTATCTGAGGCAGGATTTGAACTTAGGTCTTCCTGGCTCCCAAGTTCAGTGCTCTGATCACTGAACAGCCTTGGATGTTTTGTTTCATGCCTTGAAGCTTCCCTTAAGTGAGTAAAGATATACCATAATAAAAGCCTTCCTGCTTTATGTATTACTCGTCTATCTGATGCTTTTGTGAACACTCCCTGTGTGTCCCATAGCTGTTGTTAAGAACCAAGACCATTTCTCACTGGAGATTTTTTTTTTCACTCTCTGATTCAGGCAAACGAGTCCTCATAGTCTACGCGCATCAGGAGCCCAAGTCTATGAATGGATCCTTGAAGGACGCAGCAGTGTCTGAGCTGAGCAATCGGGGCTGCCAGGTTACTGTGTCTGATCTCTATGCCATGAACTTTGAGCCCAGGGCCACAAAGAAAGATTTTACAGGTGAGTTATCAGATCAATCAATATATAATTTACCTTTTTAAGGTGGTAGTTTTGTTTCTCTCTACATATCCAAAGGTAGCCATGTAGATTGACATCCCTGGTGAATGCCAGGCATTGGAAGAAGGGTATTGGGTTATAAGGTGCCCCCAACATTCTCTCTGATTAAGGTGATAGGATTTAAGTTGTAAGGATATGTTTAATATGTATATGTATAACCTACACCAGATTGCTTACTGTCTTGGGGAAGGGGAGGGAGGGAGAAAAAATTTGGAACTCAAAATCTTATAAAAGTGAATGTTGAAAACTATCTTTACAGGTAAATGGGGAAAAGATACTGGTTAAGTGAGGGGGGGAAAGTTATGTAGCTGACCTGGGCGCTTGGAAAAAAAGATTAAGTAAACATTTGGTCAACAACAACCTAAAAAAAAAAAAGTTGTAAGGATATAATCAGGTTCCAGGAGCAACAACCCATGAAAAGTAGGTATATGTAAAGTTAGTTAATGGTTTAGGGAACAGGTCAGTTATGCACCTGATATAGCCTTCCACATACTGCCCAGAGGTGGGAACAGTCTTCACCTCTTTGGTAGAGGTTGTTCAGTTATGTGTGTGTGTGTGTGTGTGTGAGAGAGAGAGAGAGATGATATATTATCAATATATGTTTGTTTAAATTTATATATTCATTAATATATTATATTGTATTAATATGCCATTATCAATTATATTATATATACGTATTGCTATATTATAGCATATAATTTATTATACATTATAGATAAACAACTATTTTTATATTATTCATGTCATACATAAATAATATATAGTTACATATATTTGATAATTGCATGTCTACATAATTGGTTTTCTTTGTAATCCTATGTACTTTTATTTAATGCATTTAAAAACCTTATTTGGAGAAGGGATTCAAAGGCTTTACCAAATTATGTTTCTAAATCCTTGCCCTAGTCTGAGGAAATGCCAGCCTTTAATAATTATTTTCAGAGGTTTCCCTATAAGTTCATGTTAGTTATTTGATCTGTTATTTGTTTCACGTCAGGGATTGAATCAATATTATAATAGCTTATGTCTGTAGAGAAATAGCACTTTACCCAAAATATTTCTGTGACTTGGCTCGGAGGTGTCAAATTCAAATAGAAATAGATCCTTGCCTGATACTTATTGACTTAGCAAACTATAAGTTATCCCTGTTGTATTGTATTTTTTTATTCTGTTAAACATTTTTCAATTACATTTTAATCTGGTTCTGCCAGCTTATTGCTTGTTAGGCTGTAAGTTAGACTTTGTTGTTGTTTGGTTGTTTCCTACTCTTCGTGGACCCCATTTGGGATTTTCATGGCAAAGACACTAAAGCGAGTCTTTCTGACTTCACATCCAGCACTCTATCCACTGAGTCACCTAGCTGCTCCATAAATTCAATACCTCCGACTTACATAGCAGCCCTATTACTCTCCTTATATTGCAAATGAGGGAACTATTTATCAGCCAATCAACACATTTATTAAGTACTTACTGTGTGCCAGGCACTATGCTAAGCCCTGGGATTCAAAGAACAGCAGAAACACCATCCTTTCCCTCAAGGACCCCTAAATTTCAGATTATGACTGCCAATCAATCCTCAGTTAGGCCTTACTACTCAGGGCAAGCCATCACTACGAGCCCTTAACTCTCAAGGATTAATACCAAATTAAAAGACATGGCCAAAATATTACTCACTGTAATACTGTTAATTTTGCACCCCTTCAGACTTCTCTTCAAGGGGTAGGATATTGGATTCCAGTCTGTTATGGAAGGTCTGTGGCCTGTTGGTGGGGAATCATTGGAACTAGACTTCTTTGAATAACTCAATTTGGTGTCCTTCTCTGCAGGTCCTTTGAATAACTCAGACTTCTTCAATTATGGGATAGAAGCACATGTGGCATATAAGAAGGGGATTCTGTCCAGTGATGTGATTGAAGAGCAAAAGAAAGTACAAGAAGCTGATTTAATCATATTTCAGGTGAGTGTTTCCTTTGACAAAATATGTTGAATTGGATTCTCCCAGTGAATATGTACTTCTAGGTAATATTTCTTGGTATTAGAAATTCCACTGGCCCAGTCCCCCATAAAACAAGGTGTGGGTTTATGCCATAAATTAGGGCACCACTTAGGAAGTCACTGCCTCAAAGGCTATGTCTTTGAAGGTAAGTTGAGTTGGAGTAGTCAATATCACATGGCAAAATGTTAATGAAAAGTCTCACCCTTAACTAACCTCTCCTTCTTAGAAATGCACTGTCCCTATACTTTAGGGTGTCCCATATGAGTCTATAGGATGGCAGTTTGAATACAGATCGATCTATCTGGGGCAGCTAGGTGGTGCAGTGGATAAGAGTATCATGCCTGGAGTCAGGAAGACCTGAGTTCAAATCTAGCCTGAAACACTGGCTTGTGTGACCCTGGGCAAGTCACTTCACCCTGTTTGCCTCAGTTTTCTTATTTGTGTAATGAACTGGAGAAGGAAATGGCAAACCACTCTATTATCTCTACCAAGAAACCCCAAATGGGGTCACAAAGAGTTGGACATGACTGAAAAACAACTGAATAATAACAAATAAAAGTCTATCTGGACAACTGAGTTTGAAAAATATTTTCACCAAAAATAGCCAGACAATTGTAGCAAGTCTTTCTTTATCTGAATCATAGCATTAGAGACAGAAAGGGGTCTTCTGGTCAAATGCCATTACTTTCTAGTTGAAAAAAACTGTGTAATACAGGGTGGTGGATAGGGCACTAAGTGATCTGATTCCAAATCCTATCTTAGACTAATTGTGAGACCTTGGGCAAGTCACTTACCTCAGTTTCTTTCACTCCTCTCCTCCTTTCAACCTCCTTTCGTAAATTGTCTTTAGCCCTTTGTAAGCTCCTTGAGGGCAGGGTCTGTCTTTTGTTTTTCTCTTATTTGTATCACTAACACTTAGGAGGTGCTTGATAAATATTTATAGACTATTGACTAATGAGGGGGCTGGCCTCAGGAGTTCCTTCTTGCTCTAAATTCCACAATCCAATGAAATTATGACCCAGAGAGTACTCTGGTAGCAAGTGACAGAACCCGGGTTTGAACCCAGGTTCTCTGACATGAGAACCAGTGCTCTTTTCACGCTGAACCACAGCCCATCCCTAACGTTAGCTGCCTCAGTTCTCCTTATCACTTTGCACAGGTTCCCTAAGAGACTAATAGCTGCTTCCCAGAATCCTGAACCGACATGTTTTACTTTTTAAATTTTATTTTTTTAACGAATAAAAATGTTATTTTCTCTTTCTCCCACCTCATTTTACCTTGTTGAAAAATACAAAGAAAAACAAATCCCTTGTCACAAATATGCATAAGTCAAACAAAATCAATTCTTGCACATGTTCAAAAAACATGTTTCCATCTGCACCCTGGGTTGGTCTCTTCTTTGTTAGGAGGTGGCTAACATGCTTCCTTCATCATTCTTCTGGAGTCCTGGTTAGTCATTGCATCGATCAGGGTTCTTAAATCTTTCTAAGTTATGTTTAGAGTGTTGTTATTATAGAAATTGTTTTCCTGGTTCTGTTCTGTTTTACCCTGCATCAGTTCAGACATGTTTTATCTGAAATAATCCTTTTTCTTACAGCACAATAGTATTCCATCACATTTGTATACTATAATTTGTTCAGGTGTGCCCCAAATGATGGATACCCCCGTAGTCTCTAATTCTTTGCCATCACAAAAAGAATTTTACAAATTCTACAAAATTCTACAAAAATTTACAAAAATTCACAAAAATAAATCTACTTGTATGTATGAATCCTTTTCCTCTTTATTTAATATCTTTGGGGTATATACTTGTGTATCTGACTGGGTCACTTTGGGGGCATAGTCCCAATCTGTTTCCCAGAATGTCTGGACCAGTTCATAGTTCTATCAATCATGCACCAATGTGCCTTTGTTCCTATAGATTCTCTGCCTTTTTTCATTCCCTTTTTCTGTCAACTTTGCAATCTGAGGGATGTGAAGTGGGACTTTTTCTCTAATGATTTGGATCATTTTTTTCCAAGCTTTTATTGATAGCTTAGATGTCTTCCTTACAGTTTTCAGAGGATGAAATCCAAGCTGTCTATAGTCATATGAAAAAAAAAATGCTCTAAATCACTATTGAATAGAAAAATGCAAATAAAAACAACTCTGAGGTACCCCCTCACTCCTATCAGATTGGCTAACATGAAAGAAAAGGAAAATGACAAATGTTGGAGGGGAAGTAGGAAAATTGGGACATTAATGCATTGTTGGTGGAGTTGTGAACTGATTCAACCATTCTGGAGAATAATTTGGAACTATGCGCAAAAGTCTATAAAACTGTGCACCCATACCTTTTGACTGGAAATACCACTAATAGGTCAGTATCCCAAAGAGATCAAAGAAAAAGGAGAAGGATATATATGTACAAAAATATTTACAGTAGCTCTTTTAGTGGTGGCAAAGAATTGAAAATTGAGGAGATATCTGTCAGTTGGGAAATGGCTGAATAAGTTGTCGTTATGATTGTGATGTAGTACTGTTGTGCTATAAGAAATGATGAACAGGATGCTATCAAAAAAACCTGGAAAAACTTATGTGAACTGATGCAAAGTGAAGTGAACAGGACCAGGAGAACATTGTGCACAGTAACAGAAATATTGTACAGTGATCAGTTATGAATGACTTAGCTATTCTCCACAATACAATGATCCAAGACAGTTCTGAAGGACTTATGATGAAAAATGCTATCTACCACCAGAGAAAGAATTGATGGAGTCTGAATGCAGATCAAAGTATACTTTTTTCACTTTCTTTATTTTTCTTATTTTTTTCTTTTGGTCTGTGTTTTCTTTCACAACATGACTAATATGGAAATATGTTTTGCATGACTGCACATGTGTGATCTATATCAAATTTCTTGTCTTCTCAGGGAAAGGGGAGAAATGCAGACTTATGTGCTATGATTGTAACCTTGACAGAAAAGACAGAAATTCATCAACCTGTTTGCTGACTACAAGTAACTGAGTCAGAGTTGCACACCCTCATTAACCCATTTGCTGACTACAAGTAACTAAGTCAGAGTTGGACACTAAAATTCCCCAGCAAGCCTCGTCTGTATTAAGGGCGAAGGAGGGGCCTGGGCCTAGAAAGGAACGTAGAAGTACTTCCCTCTTGTGGATACTGTAGAGTGCTGTTGCATTAGTGTTTAAGGACAGCCTGTTTGTAGTGCTTCCTCAAAATCCACATATTAAATCGTATCTTATTCTAGTCCCCTTGACCACCTCTAGTCAGTATAGGAAGTACGTTTTAACAGGAAATAAGATTGCAAAGGGGAACCTGAAGTCACATACAAACTGTCCCAAATATCAAAGGAGCATAATTTACAAATTGTTTCATCTATTAACTAAAATTCACATCCTGATAACATGTGCCAAGTAAAAGGAAACTATCTAGGCACTTCTTGTCAAAATTCTAGTCCTGCAATACGTAAATTCTAGACAAAATCCAGACATTCACAGCTCCAGATCAGCAGAATATCAAAAAGATACTGATAACTTTGAGACAATGACTTTGAAGCTTTACCAATAACTTTGAGATGATTTCAGTATGTTAATGAACAAGGTGACACAGATAAAAGTTGGTCTGTTTTCCCCAAAAAACCTATAAAAATGAGACCTAAAACTCCTGCCCATACTGCCACTCCCCAGCCCTCTTCCCTCTCCATCAGGGCCATACTCACTAATGCAGGTTGAAACGTACTTTTTTTTTTTACTTTATTTTTCTTAGCTTGTGTGTGTGTTTTCTTTTGCAATATGACTAATATATGTTTTGCATAACTTTACACGTATAATCGATATCCTATTTCTTGCCTTCTCAAAGGGGAGGGGAGGGGCGGAAGGGAGAGAATTTGCAACTCAAATTTTAAAAATGAATGTTAAAAATTTTTTTTACATGTAATTGGGAAATAGTTAATGAAATAAATAAAAATATATTTTAAAGAATAAAATAATGAGCCATGTACAAATTTCCCACTAAGTTGAAGTGTTTATTTCTGTCTTGTGACTGAAGGTCTTTCTCTTCCCTTTCCCCAGTTTCCCTTGTATTGGTTCAGCGTACCTGCCATCATGAAAGGCTGGATGGACAGAGTCCTTTGCCAAGGATTTGCTTTTGATTTTCCAGAATGCTTTGATAGAGGCTTTCTCCAGGTATGTTCAATGGAATATGCTATCATTGCAATCCCTTGAAGCAAGGCCTGACACTATAGGTTTCTAAATATGATTTTTCAACCAAAAGCCTGTTATTTTCATCTCTGGGCCCTCTCTGTTGCTTGGTAATCTTTTTTTTTTCCTTCATCACTGTCCTAAAGGGTCTTACCTTACTGAAAAGATTGAAGTCATATAACACGAGCTCCCTGAATTATCTATTTCTACACATCAAAACTATTCTCAGTCTTCATTAGCCTCTCCTTCCCTCCTGTTTCAGAAGGCAAAGACTTCTCCCTCCCCCCCACCTTGAACTACATTCTCACATCTCTTATCCCTTTTAATACTAAGGTTCTTGAAGACATATCCTAAGTCTCTTTTTTTTTTTTGCTTTTTAAAAAATTTATTTTAGTTTTAATTTATAGAATAAAACAAGCATTTCCATAGCATAGTATAATAAAAAGATAATTGCACATGAAGCTGCAAATCTATTATGTAGAACTTGCTATTCCTTTCAAATATATAATAAAGTTATCATGTAATTTTTTTTCCTTTTTTCTTCCCTCCCCCCACACCACCTAGAAATGGCTATCATTAGACACAAATAGGTGTGTGTGTGTATGTATGTGTACATATATATATAAATATATATATGCAAAATTATTCTGTACATACTTATTTTCTAAGTTCTTTCTTTGGATGCAGATAGCATCTTTCTTCATATATCCTTTATTTTTAATTTGTGAACTTAAAATAGCCAAAATGACTTAGTCACTCAAAGTCATTCTTCAGACAATGTTGCTGTTTCTGTATACAGTGTTTTCTTGTTTCTGCTACTTCACTCTTCACCATTTCATTCAAGTCTTTCCATGCTTTTCTATTGAGCTCATCATTTTTTTTAAATTTTTGCTTTTTGATGAGGCAAATGGGGTTAAGTGACTTGCCCAGGGTCACATAGCTAGTAAGTGTCAAGTGTCTGAGACTGGATTTGAACTTAGGTCCTTCTGACTCCAAGGCTGGAGCTCTATCCACTGCACCACCTAGCTGCCCCTCATCATTTCTTATAGCATAGTAGTATTCCATTACAACCATATACCACAACTTGTTTAGTCATTCCCCAACTGATTGCAGGGCATCCCTGCAATTTCCAATTCTTTACCACCACAAAGAGAGTCTTTTGGGGAGGGGGCGGGGCTAGGCAGTGGGGTTAAGGACTTGCCCGGGGTCACACAGCTAGTAAGTATTATGTGTCTGAGGCCAGATTTGAACTCAGGTCCTCCTGAATCCAGGGCTGGTGCTCTATCCACTGAGCAACCTACCTACCCCGAGTCTTTTTTTTCTAATAAATTGTGAGGGACTGTCTGATGTTGGCAGCTACCAGGTTGGACGCTGTGGCAAGGGTAGGGTAGGATCTGGGTATTTTGGAAGTCGAGACAGGGGCTGTGGTAGGCAGAGTCGTGTGTACTGGGATGGGCTGGATACGGAGAAGCCCTGAGGCAATTGGGCAGTGCTATGAGATAAGCTGGGTACAAGGAAGTAGTCAAGCTTGAGCTCCTGAGGCAAGGGGCGGTACCACGTGGGAGTGGGATGGCAGAGGACTGAGTTCCCTCTGCTTAGTCCCCTCCCTATATGCAACATCATCCCCAGATGCCTCTTGTGACCTTCCTGACTTCCTGGGTCCCTTTGTGCAGCACTGACCCAGACCCCTCCTCCCAGTGTCTGAGCCTGACTTCCTAGGTCATGTACTCTTGTCTATGCGTCATTCCCAGATGCCTCCTTCCTATATCCAATCCTGGCTTCCTATGTCACTCCCTCCCCCTTGGTGTGCTAAACTCAGACAGCCCCTTCCGGTATCTGACCCTACAATCATTGGCTAGTAGCGGGCTGGGGGGAGGGGCTAGGTAGGTACTTAGGAACAAGCGTGGTCAGATCACACACGTGCGCTCTCCCCTGGCTCCTGCCCTGTTGCTCTGGCCTTGCTGCTTGGGCTTGCTATGATGGCTTGCTGTGTTGGCCTCTGAATAAAGCTCTGGTGTTGGCGCCTCCCGATGGCTCATCTCTGTGTGGTGATCCGGCTCAGAACCGAAGACCCAGGTGCGGGTAAGACTCTGGTAGTGTACTCCTTATAGAAGGAGTGGGTACTGGCACACGGCTGGCAGAAGGTTGGCGTGCGGCCAGTACAATAAACTGTCACCCTTCAATCACCCTTTCTCCACTAAGCACTCTTCCTAAAGTAGACTAGACAGAGCTCAGAAAGTTTTAGGAGACAAAAAATCTGAGAGCTTCTCACCCCTCCTCTTACTCTGCTGATCATCTCAATGATGAAGGGAGGAGGAAAATGAGGACCCAACCTACTGTCTCTACTCCCCTCCTCACCATGTTGGTAGACCTCCCCCCCATCTACAGTTGCTGTAGCATTCATCTACTGGTCTGACCACTCTCTCCTGGACACGCTCACCAGATCCTCTCCCCATTTATTATCTACTCTTTCTTTCCAATCTCCAAAGACCCAACTTTTCTCTATGTACATGCTAAGTCACTCCTTTCTCTGGGTGTCCCCTCAAAAGGTCCCCAGAACTGGACACAAATGCCAACTGGACTCTAACTATGCTCCTTCCCTCCCTATACCCAGACTGGCTTCTGACCTCCAGAATGGAGCATCACCAGCCTTGAGGCTCCTTTCTTACTGCAGCTCTGTCCCCATAGGACCTCTGATGGTAGATAGGATCAGTTGGGTCACTGGAGTTGACCCACCCTCATTTGATCAGTTTCAAGTTCAGGGGCTGCCTCATATAATAGAATATAGTGAGCCCTAAACATCCCCCCACCCCTATTCTTGAGGGACAGCTGTCCCCACTTCACCCCTACTAATGAGGAAGAGTTTTGACAATTTAAAATACAGACTTTAAAATGTGTTGCTGGAACATACCACCATAAATGAAAGTGAATAAGTGAAGACTAAGCATGTATAACTTGTTGAAAGGTCACCTATTCGTGGTCTAACATGTTGAACCAAGTTTCCACTCAGTGATTTGACTGACTAATGATAATCATAATACTATATTTAGTATTTATACAGCACTTTAAAGTTTGCAAAGCACTTTACATACGTCATCTTATTTGATCCTCACTAAACCCTGTGAGGTAGGTGCTATTTTATAAATCCTTATTTACAAAAGAGGAAACTGAGGCTGGGAAAAGTCAAGTGATTTGCCCAGGGTCATACAGCAAGAAATTGAATAAGGCAGGATTTGAACTAAGGTCTTCCTAGTTGTCTGTGCTAAAACACAATGACATAATTAGAACAGAATAATAGATAAACAGGTGTATGATAAATATAAATTCCAAATCAATCAATCATTAACATTTATCATAAATTTATTATTATATTAATATTAATGTAATATTTATCATAAATTGCCAAGCACTCTTTCTAAGTGCTGGGGGAACAAGAAGAGGCAAAAGATAGGCCCTGCCCTCAAAGAACTTACGATAACATTTCTTTTTCACACTGGAACTGGGAATTCATTGGAATTGGGACCTCCCTATAAGAAGACTCCTTCTATCAAAGCAGATCAGCATCTTCTCTGAAACTTAGAGTCTTTTTTTAAAAATTTTTTATTTCTAGGCAGTTGGGATTAAGTGACTTGCCTAGGGTCACACAGCTAGTAAGTGTCAAGCATTTGGTCTGAGGCTGGATTTGAACTCAGGTCCTCCTGACTGCAGGGCCAGTGCTCTATCCACTGCGCCACCTAACTTCCATGAAAGTTAAAGTCTTAAAGAGTAGCCAAGGGAGACGATGAGGTTAAGAGACCTACCCAGGTTCACACAGTCTGTGCATTTCAGAGTCATTACTTGAACCCAGATCTGCTGGCTCTTTCTTTCATCTCTTTCTTTCGCCTCTTTTCTTAATACCCGACTTAGTGACATATAACTCCTCAGCAATCCTCCTGTGACTTACCTATTTTACCTCTTTCTGCTCCTAGATTGAACACAATAGGAACTTGATTCATGTTTGTTTAATTAAATTTGTTGAATTGAATTAATTAAAGTTTTTCTTCTACTCTAAGAAAAAAGAGAGCCTCATTCAGGTCTTGAGGTAAGACATGCATATCCCGTTTGACACAGAAGTACATTCTGGAGTTGTAAAGAGGGGGCTTGTGAAATAGTCTTGAAATTCTGGTAGAAAGTTGTCCACAGAACTGTTTTGATAGTGGTCTAAAGTGCCATCTGTGCCAACAGCCCCTGCTCTCAAGGAGTTTACAGTCTACTGGGGGGCAATGGCATGCCCACAGAGAAGTAGATGCAAAATTTCTACAAAAACGACAGCAGGTAGGGAGCTAGCCTGAGAGTTGGGAAGCACTGAGCCTAGAAGGCGCAGCTCTGATACGTACTGGCCGCAGAATCCAGCCAGCACATCATTTAAACTCGTAGGGCCCTAGTCAGCTTCCCAAGAACAGGAGTTGCAGAGTGAGAGCCAGTGTGCATCAGTAGGTGGGGTCCCTACAGGAGTGAAAATCACAGATCTTGTCAAAGGAAACGAAAAACCTATAAAGTCATTGCTGGGGGAGGGCACCTGCCTTCCAGGGACTCCCCCTCCAGCTGGAGATGGCTGAGAGACAGTGGCTGGCCAGGCCCTGAGTCACTTTTGGAGGCTTCAGGAGTGTGGGAAGTCAGTCCAAAAACCAGTGTCTTTCCCTTCCTGCTGGCGGTCACAGAGGGTGGCATTTTCCTATCAGTCTTTCATCTAAATTACATGTCCAGTACAGGTAGACCACATACATATACACACACAAACACCACATATACATATACAGATACCACACATACAGACACACACCATAGATACCACACGCACATACCACATACACATACAGATACACATAATCACTATATGCGCACACATACATATCGCACATACACACACCATACACATACATACATATCATACACATATATGTATTCACCTATACAAATACCACACCTATTACACATACACATATTCCACACACACCATTTACATATATATGCACCGCATACACATGCAACTTATACACAAACATACCATATACACACCACATACACATATATACATACCACATACATATTCACACTACATAAACATACAGACACACACATTACTTACATATACTGGAAAGTTCTGTAATACCAAAAGGAATGAGGGTGATACTCTGAATTTTAATAAAGTTCTGCCATCAAAATAAATCTATTTACTTCAGTTAGTTGAATTGTGTTTTATTATAAAAGCCCTTGAAATTTCTATAGAGAATAAACTATATCAAGCCTTATTGTTAATTTTAATCAGACACACTGCACCCTCTGTTCAGTGTTTCTATTGGAAGCCTGGGCACTTGTCATAGAATTTCCTCACATTCTATCATTGCTTTGTGTTGATATATCTAGTAAGAGGCAATATATTTATGTGTACCTATAGGCAGAGGTGTGCTGGAGTCAGCTCATACTGACTTGAGAGAGCTGATTGTTAAATTTTCACTGTCAGCATTTACATCACAGAAATCAGCCAACACTACAAATCAGAGCATGATTTATTGTTTTGTTGATTGTCTAGACCAGGAGTGGGGAACCTTCGGCCTCAAGGCCACATGTGGCCTTCTAGGTCCTTGCACCCTTTTGACTGAGTCCAAGTTTAGATTTAGTCAAAGGCCCACACTTGAGGACTGAAAGGGCTACATGTGACCTCGAAGCCACAGGTTCCCCACCGCTGATCTAGACTCAAGAAAGTGATGAAGAAAACGTTAATAATGAAAACTGAATTTAAAAGTATGTTGTTGGTAGCACCAGCCCTGGAGTCAGGAGGGTCTGAGATCAAACCCAGCCTCAGACACTTGACACTTACTAGCTGTGTGACCCTAGGCAAGTCACTTAACCCCAGTTGCCTTATCAAAAAAAAAAAAAAAAAAAAGGATGTTGTTGGGTATATTTTGTCCCAGAGAACTGGTTATTAAACATTTACCAGCGCACCACTGCCTGTATGTATATTGGAGTTTTGAATGTCATATTCACACTTTTATTAAAGTGATCTGAGCTTGAACTTCCCCTTTCTGTGTTATTACACATACCTGGTATGGGCTGTCATCACTGCATCTACTGCTGGTTCTCCCTCATGGAAACATCCTTGATGGTAGAATTTTCATTTTATCCTTTTCTCATGGGAACCAAGGGGTGGGAAGAAAATCTCAAACTAACTAAAATCTAGAAAGCCAATATGACACACTTCTTAGCTTGAATTGCAGCTAATATTTCTATGTTTTTGAAAAATCAGTTTTTCATATTTTTTCTTGTATTCAATTCCAGAACAAATTAGCCCTCGTTTCATTCACCACTGGGGGTGATGCTGAACTATACTCCAAAACCGGTCTCAGCGGAGATATTAAATACATCTTGTGGCCCCTACAGGTAAACATAATATTACTACTGTATATCACTGCCTCCTTGTCTCACTTCACTTCCTGCTACTCATCTGAGTAGAGAAATAGTTATTTTCTTCAAGGGACTGCATGGAAAATTAGATTAGAAAATTCTGAATATATCAATCAGCCAAGTATCTATTGAGTGTTTACACTCAGTAGCAGATCTGGAATTGAAAAAGTAAATTAGATGCCTAATAAATATTTGATGAATAATTTAATGAATCTAAAGATAAGGATAGATAGAGAGAAAGAGAGGAGGGATGAAGAGAGAAAAGGATGTTACATATGTAAGACAGGGTCAAATACTTTTTGGTAATCAACAAACAATAAACTAATTGGTTTTCGTATTCTAGGCAACTTTCAGATAAAAAGATATCTTTTATAAAGATAAAAACAATCAGTTAATCAATGCTTATTCCTTTCTATAAAAAAAAGTCCACTATAGAAAATCCTTAATGAAAGCCTGCCTTTGTCCAAATCATTGGTAAACATGTCAATAGGCTCAGATTCTTAAAATCTAACCACTGCTCAGATTCCTTAAGAACCTAGCCAATAGCTCACAAGTGTTCAGATTCCTTAAAAGTCTGACCAATACGGTGGATCTTTAATAAACCTTGTCTCTGGCTGAGGGAAAGCTTGGGTCGAATTCTTTTGGGCAGTACCCACGTGTCGTGATTTTGGTTTCCCAGCACCCCTAAACCCCTAAAAAACATTTTGGTAGCTCGTATGGGGAAACTGCTTAACTCCAAATTAGGCAGTTCTTCTCCAGCCAAGACTGGAAGGTATGTAAGCCTCCCCCACTTCTTTCTTGCCCTGCAGCTGGGGTCGCTCTCCAAGCACCTAGGAAGGCTTGGAGGTGCTTTTCCGGCAGACAGTTACAAGGCTGTCTCACACTCAGTCTGATGCTCTCAGCCTCTCGGTCCACTGGTTCAGTTCGAGGCCATGGACCTGGATATACCTTCCTCAGCATAGAGGATAAGGATGGACACCCTATCCAGAAGCATATGCTCAATTCTGTTAATTCTCTTGGTGCTAGAGAAATGGGAAAACTGTAGGTGCTTTTTGGTTCCCTGAGGCTTATGTACTCCATTCCTTCTACACCCCTGAATTCTCTTTCATGGAGGTTACAGGGAAAAGTTAGAACAGCTAAAAACATCTTAGCAGATTCTGGAAGTTTTGTGATTGATCATTAAGGAGTTTTGAAACACCTCCTTACAACCCTGGTCACTACCTTCTCCCACTCCCCTCCCTTGAGTCAAGAGGGTATCTGTTAACCCATCTCATAGGAGAAGAGAGTTTCACCCTCCCCTCCCCACCTCTGAATTTGCCCTCTACAGCATAGGCCCCACTGGCAATGGCCTTGGGCCCTGGGGCAACCTATGCCTGGCAGCATCACCCAGGCTCAGCACATCCTGCTTAAGGTTAAGAAGCTAGCCTCTGTACTTGGGCTAAAGGGAAACACATTAAGGTTACTGCTTCAGTGGGATTGAGACAGGTAGTAGTATCTCAGCTTTTGGTTACAAGGTGTGATATGAGTCGGACTACAAGTCAAGATAATCACAAGGATGTCGATTTGGAATGGACCATATTAATATCAAGTCCATTCCTGTCATTCATGAGGAAACCAAGACCCAGATATGTTCAATGATTTACCAAACTCTAAGTCATATGCAGCTACAGGTGTGGATATGACTAATTGATTTTCAAAGAAATAAACTTTTCTGAAATATTAGATATATGATTATTAAAAAAACCATGTCAGTAGAGAGCTAAGGATGGATCCCTGGGGCATTCCACTAGAAACTTCTTTCCAAGTTCACATCCATCCATTAATGACTATTCTTTGGGGCCAGTCAGTGGGCCCCATTCTATCCAAAATAGCATTGTCTAGACCAGAGGTGTCACACACATGGGCCATATGAGGTCCAAAACACTCCTGAGTGCTGCCCCAAACAAATTAAACTGTAACTGAGAAATATTTAACAAATAAATAAAAATTCAGTAAATCAGATAATGTTAATATGTGGTTTTCTAGGTTAATAAGCAGCCCGTAGAGATCCTTATATACGGTTTAGTGGCCTCTGTTTCAATTTAAGTTTGAGACCACTGATCTAGTCTATCACACATTCCAGTCTTGTTCTCACATACACCACGAGGCTCTTAATCTACTTTGCCCCCCAGAAGTATTTGATAGGTATTTGAATTATAAAATAAAACTTGTAAATATTAATTGCTGATTAGACTTCTGACTTAACCTTGCCCTGTATCTATAGGTTAAAAGGGTGTTGATTTGTTTTCTGTGAATTTATAGTTTGGGGGGTTTTTTGTTTGTTTATTTTTTGATGAGGCAATCAGGGTTAAGTAACTTGCCCAGAATCACACAGCTAGTAAGTGTCATGTGTCTGAGGCCAGATTTGAATTCAGGTCCTCCTGACTCCCAAGCCAGAGCTCTATCCCCTGCACCACCTAGCTGCCCCTGAATCTGTAGTTTTAAAGAGGCTTTTGTTGTTGCTGTTGTTGCTTCTGCTGTTTCAAAGCTTGATTATCTCCCTCATGTTACCCCTATGAGGTTTTTAACTGGGTTGAAATGTAATGGGTCATATTTCTGATCAATTCCTTTCTCTCTTTCCAAGTCTAGCATGGTGTGTTGCATTTCTGTGGTTTCAAAGTCCTGGCCCCTCAGGTCAGCTTTGCTCCTGAATACTCATCAGAAGATAAGAGAAAGGAGATGGTGGCTTCTTGGGCAAGGAGACTGGAGACCATCTGGAAAGAGCAGCCGATAAACTGCGCTCCCTCCTGGTACTTTGAATAATAACACCTTATGTTATGTGATGGACAGTCTTCTTACCCTTTTTTTGAAGTTGTGAGTAGCTAATGCTCTGGAGACAATCTGTTATAATCAATAAAGCTATAAAGTTTACTTACAAAGTGAATCTGAGGCCTTTCATGTTTTATTGTTATTGCATTATTGATATATTTTAATATTTAATATTTAATAATTTTTAGTTAATATATTTTGATGTTATAATATTTTAGTTAGGTACAGCTAGGTAGAACAGTGGATAGAGTACCGGGCCTGGAGTCAGGAAGATTCGTCTTCTTGAGTTCAAATTTGTCCTCACACACTTATTAGCTATGTGACGCTGGGCAAGTCACATCACCCTGTTTGCCTCAGTTTCTTCATCTGTAAAATGAGCTGGAGAAGGAAATGGCAAACTACTCCAGTATCTCTGCCAAGAAAACCCCAAATGAAATCACAGAGAGCCAGACACAACTGAAAAACAACACGAAAAAGAATAAATGGTTAATGTAAGGGTCTGCAATTGATATTCTTTTCAAGAAAACTTTTTTTGGGGGGCAATTGGGGTTAAATGACTTGCCCAGGGTCACACTGCTAGTAAGTGTCAAACGATTGGTCTGAGGCCACATTTGAACTCAGGTCCTCCCGAGTCCAGGGCCATGCTCTATCCACTTCACCACCTAGCTGCCCCAATATTCTTTCCAAATAGGTAGACCTAGAAGTTCTAGGAACAATTTTTGGAAGGTGAGAGGAGAAATAATCAGAGTCCCTTTAAGAAAGGTAGGTCTCTCACAGAGCAACCATGGCCCATCATCTACAACCATCGTGGAGAGCCTGAATAGACTGTGTGGGCACTAGCATCCCAAGTTAGGTCAGTCTTTAAGCAGATAACTCTTCTCTTCCTTAGACTAGTAAAGGGTGGGGTAAGAAATGCCTCTTAGGCAAGCCCGTTTCTGAGATGGGGCTGTCTCCTGATGTGGCCTGATGCCTCCTGTCTTGGAGGCTTTTGTACACACACTCAGTTTCAGCTCAGCAGCCAATCAAAAGTCTTAACCTTCAGCAGTGAAGTAAGTGGATAGGAAACCACGACATGGTATGAATTGGGGCAGGGCCTCTCCATTCCACATCATTTACAGGTTTCCAGAAGCAGCTCACCAAAAGCCTGCCCCCCCCACCTCAGGGGGCTGGCAGCAAATGCAGTAAGCAACACATACCCAGAGAATTGCCACCCCCACCCCCACCCGCTCAGCCAGCCTCACTGAGATATACCAGGGGAATGGCAGTTAAGTTGCAAATGAAGTATGGTCAGTGAAGGGGGAGGTATAAAGATACAACTAAGTAGAATACCTTACTTGTTGTGTGTGACCCCTGGGCAAGTCATGTCACCTCTGTTTGCCTCAGTTTCCTCATCTGTAAAGTGGGGCTAAAAATAGCACCTACCTCCCAGGGTTGTTGTGAGAATCAAGTGATATATTTGTAAAGTGCTTAGCACACTTATTGAGGCAGCTAGGTAGTTCAGTGGATAGAGCAGGCCTGTACAACCTATGGCACATATGCAACTACATATGCTTATATGTAACTATATAAATACATATATAAACATACACACACACACACACACACCACCTTCTTCTTAAGGAACTAACACTGTGTGGGTGTTTGTGTGCTTGTGTATTTGTGTGCTATAAGTGATCGCATTAACCACCACATTAAATACCTCCCTAATCTCAGTTTTTTCATCTGTAAAAGAGATTGGACCAAATACTCTTTTCCAGCCCTAACATTCTATGACACAAAAAACTCCTTTGTTGTGAGTCTGGAAATGGCAATTGGTATGGCAATAGACAAGTTCATGGATTTAATGCTAGAAAGGACTTTAAAACCATAGATTGAGGGCTGGGTGGAATCTAAATTAGAGGTTCCCATTTTACTATTGATGAAACTGAAACCCAAAGAGGGTAAATGTATCCAAGGTCACAAAGGTGGTGAGAAGTAGAATTGGGATTCAAACCCAGGTCCTCTGAGTGCTAATCCAGCACTCTTTCCATGCCCTTTAAGTAGCATTAAGATAAAACTAATTTTCAAGTTCTTAATTGTCATTACTAAGCAAGGCACTTGTGGAAGGGCCTTGGAAAAAATTAATATTTATATTTGCAGAGTGATTTTAAATCCTATGCATTAAGGCTTTTCCAGAGCCAAGATGGTTTTTTAAACATTACTGGAAAAGAGTATATACCAAGATACTCTGTTATTTTATGTGCTACCGAGAAGATGTATCTTTGACTAGTAATGGAAGTGGAATTCAGTTAGACTCTTAAGTATCCGGTGGATACAATAAAAACAGTGGGGTGAGGGGGAAAAAAAGCACAGAGCTTCTCTTCTCATTTTTATTGAAATTTTCATTTTTTTACTCTATTATAGTCTAACTTTACTACCCTCTCAAGTAAAATTGAACCATAATAAGGATTTTAAAACAAGCACTGTGTGCTTTCATCTCTCTCAATTATTATCCCCTAAGCTGAAAACCTATGACCTGTTGTTCCCTTATCTACCTAAAAAAAAAAAAAAAGCCACATCTATTTTCCATAGCTACCCTTACGACTTCTTTCAGTACCTACTTCGTAAATGAGCCATGTGATATTCTTGAAGTCGGGAAAAGCCACATCCCTAAAGCTGAGCTGTATACTATCCCTGACACTGGGCAAAGTTTTTAACATCCTACTTCTGCTTTCTGCACACAGACAGTTCAGTTTTGCAGTATTTAAAAGCAATTTGATCTATACCACCTGCTATTTTGTTCCCGTTAGAGGCTGGACTATACAATTGTAGGAATGATCTATAAAGCTCATCTAGTAATTTTCTATAGCAACAGAAGCACAGATCCAGTCCCTAACCCTTTCTAATGTTGATGAAGAGACATCCATCTATCTGCATACTCAAAACTGATTCAAAGTTAGTACGGCAAGTTTAGGTCTGTGTCATCATCCCATAACAAAGCAGTGTGGCCCCCTCCAATGGGAAGGAAATAACATGTGGTATGGAGTGAATTGCTTTTCAATACTGAAACACTAAATTCTGAACTGCTGGTCTGCAGAAAGCAGAGAAGTATGCCCTTAAGAACTTTACCTGAGGTCAGGCTTAGGCAGCTCTGCTTTAGGGATGTAGGTTTTCCCAGCTACAAGGATAGTACATGGTTCATTTATGAAGTAGGAGCTGAATAAAGCAATATGGGCATCTATGGCAAATGGATAGGGCTTTCTTTGATTGTTTTTCAACTAGTTAAAAAGTATAAACAATAGGTCCTAGGTTTTCAGCTTAATGTATATTAATTGAGAGGAAAGCACATAGTGCTTGTTTTAAAATCTTTATTATGGTTTAATTTTACTTGAGAGGGTAGTGAAGCCAGACTATAATAGAGTAAAAAAAATTAAAATTTCAATAAAAATGAAAGAGAAGCCCTGTAATTTTTTCTCACAGCATGTTTTTATTGTATTATCATTTATTGTATTATCATTTATCATAATATACAATAGTATATTACCAGATATTTAGAGTCCAAATGGATTCCATTTCCATTATTAGGCAAAGATAAATCTTCTCAGTGGCACACAGGTACACAACACACACATACATACATGTAAATCTTGAAAAGACACTACAAAGAGACCATGAGCTAGACCCAGGACTGAACAAGAAGAAACAGTAGGCTAGATTGCCATTGGGAAATTGCAGTTATTTTAATGACCACAAACTTCCCTTTGAAACAGACATCACTCTTTAATGCTAATATTCTCACCATTACGTGAAATAGCTGCAACTCATACATTATCATTACATTATTAGTATTAGGGAAATTCATATTTCTGTAATATTTTACTTCACGGACAGGTGAGGAAAAGACATATGGTCCAATACAGTTCCCAAATCCTTTTTTTTTTTTTTTTTGGTTGTTATTGTAGTAGTAACCAGTAAAGTTAGCTAAAATGTTTGTGCCAGAATTTGTGAGGTTTGTAAAGAGATCACCTCTACATCCATCTAACCTTTAGACCAGAGATTCTTCATGGACCTTTAAGGGGTCTTGGATAGGGGAAGAATGCATCTTGATTTTCACTAACTTCTAACTGAAACTCAACATTTCTTTCTATCATTTAGAAATGCTATTCTGAGAAGGGGTGCACATTCCTCATTAGCTTGCCAAAGGAATACATGGCACAAAGGTTTAGAACATTTAATTTAGACAAAAATCACCCTGACATTCTGCTATAAATGACATATTTCCTTTTTCTCTTACATGGTAGGAGGATTTTACTTTTGTAAAAGAAGGCTACTTTTTTTTTAACTTCTGTGTACTTTTTTTTTTTTTTTAACTTCTGTATACTACCAGCTTCTTGGTCTTTATTTTATACTACTTACCTATGTCGTTTTACAGTGTTGTTTTCAGTGGTGGACCACGAAGAAAATAAATTCTGTGTCTGACAAGGCATTAGCAATAGGTGTTTCCGATTTGTAAACCAGATCCGTTCCTGTTCCACACCCAGCTGGGATTATGAGTCTGCAATGATGACGGTGACAGCTCTATAAAGGTCGGAACGGGGCGGGCTCAGCCCAGTCTGACTCGCGGAAGCGCGGCGCATCCTTCGGTTTTCCTGTTCTTTTTCCTACGTTCTGTTGTCTATCGCGGGCCAGCCCAGTCTCCCCTGCCGATAGTCAGTGGCTCCCAGGCTTGGAGGGAGCTCTGCCGGCGGGCCAGCCTTCCCCCCGCCAGGCGCCCCCCGCTGTCACCAGCTGTCACCGAGTCGCGGGACCCTTGGAAGAGCCAGGTGAGCGGGGCGGGAGGACGGCCGCCCCCGGGACGTGCGTGCATCAGGGTCGGCCTTTTCAGGGGCCTCTCCAGGCCCTACAGACCCTTCCTCTCTTTTTTGGGGCCTCTCCAGGCCCTACAGACCCTTCCTCTCTTTTTTGGGGCTTGACCCCCTCCTCTGCCGCGGTTGCAAACCCAGAGTTTATATGGACGGGGCTGGGGGCGGGGGTCGCCCCCGAGCACTTCCTTCTCGCTCTGGGCTGGGGAGAGGTTTATTTTGCCCCGAAAAAGAAACTAACTTTTCCTCAAGTTGCGACTGCGCAGTTTCAGCCTGCTTGACGGATTCATTAATGGCGAATTTCTCTGCAAAATCCCGCGCCGTTGTTGCCTTCCTGATCTGGACCGGGACCCCTCGGAGGTCACCAGACAGAAAGACAAACCCGACAGCCCTCGAAGTGCGTCCCAGTCCTTCTACCTAGACGGTTGCCTCCCTCTTTCCTGGAAGCCGGGGTGAAGCAGGACTGTGTGGGAAAGCTGTGGTCTTGGTCGGGTGGACAGGAGGGGCGGCCCATAGTCTAATCTGTTCGGTGGAAAGGCTTTGTTGAGCGCTCTGGTCGTGAACTTGACCTTGCCTGAGGGACTTTGTCTGAGAAAGCCGGGTTCTCTCGTCTGAGGGTCAATACTTATAAACAGAAACTCAGTCTCTATGCCTGTGTCTGCCTGTCTCGGTTTCTTCCTCTACATATATAGAAATACATGTATGAGACTATGTTGATAAAATACAGAAGTGTAGATGGAAGAGCTATGTCTCCCAGGGTTGACTGAGCAAGCTGTCCACACCATATTATCCTACTTGACTTTGGGAAGAAAACAACCGAATCCCACTGTGGGTGTCCCAAGACATTTCCTATTGAGTAGAGGAATCAGTAGAGAGAAGTTATGTGTGGGTAGTAGGGATGGGTGTGGGGTGGGAAGGGTAGAGACTTCGTTTCTCATGGTCGGGGGAAGGTTGGGGTGGGGGGGGGGAGAGAGGAAGGAGAGGGACGGAAAGTGTAGTCCAAGCTAGTTCTTAAATGCTTGTAAGTCACAATCCCGATAGATAGCCTCTGCGTAGGCTTTAGGCAAAAATCAAATAGATGCTCTGATATAACCGATCTTTTCTTCTCTTACATGTAAGTACATTTTGCTTTTGGAAAGTGAGTTATTACTGTTTTATTTCTGTGTACTATCTTGGCCTTGTTTTGCACCATTTATGTATGAGAGATACATAATTGTTTAAAGTTCTATTGGCTATTTTAATAAATTGTGGCATTAGCAATAGAATTTCTACCGCAGTTTTGACTTAGAGTGTTTTACTCAACAATCAAAGTTATGACAAAGTTGTTATGAGTCAAATTAGAATCTTTGGCCCTATTTGGTTCACAGGATCATAGACCACTGTTCTTTCCCACTTATTATTCTGTTTGCCAGTTGGAGAAACTAGGGCGCAGAGGTATCAAATGAACTTCTGAATACCTGGAGTGACCATGGTCAAGTCACTTAGTCCTTTCCCACCCCAGTTTCCTCATCTGCAAAATGGAGATGCTGAGGAAAATAGGATTGCAGCAGGGAGTCTCTCCTCTGACACATACCATATGTGTGACCCTGTACAAGAATTTCCAAGATTCTAAGTTGGAGAGAAGGTGCTAACCTGCATTGATAGATGCAGTTTCCTCGCTCTGAAGTTTCCTATTCCAGTGAAATAATAGATCTGATACTTATCCCTATCCCTTTGCCCACAGTGAGAGGTAGGGATCAACAAAGCAGTCAGCAAGCATTTAATAAGTGCCTACTATGTGCCAAGTATTGGGGCTTTAAATACAATAAATGAAATAGTTCCTTGGAGCTTGCACTTTCAAAAATATAAGTAACTATTTATAAACAAAAAATTATCGATGAAAGATTTTAAGAAAGGAGTGTCCTTGAAGGTCTGAGCATGTATTCCTGATGTATAAAGTATTGACACAAGCAGTGTGGCATTATAATACCTTACAATTATTATAGCACCTACTATGTGCCAGGCACACTATGCTAAGTATTTCACAATTATGATCTCATTTGATCCTCACAACTCTGAGAGATGCTAGTATTGACCCTATTTTACAAATGAGGAAACTGAGGCAAATACAGATTAAGTGACTTACCCAGGGTGATAAAACTAGTAAGTGTCTGAGACTGGATTTGAACTCAGTTCTTCCTGAATCCAGTGCTCTATCCACTGCACCACCAAATGGAAAGAGCAAAAACACAAGAGTTAGAAGACCTGAACTTTTGTGTCCAGGCTCTACCACTTATTTTGGGCAATTTGCTTAATTTTTCTGATTTTTATTTCCTTATCTATAAAAAGGGGATCATACCTACTCCATAAAATTATTGTGAGACTCAAATGAGATAATGTGTGTAAAAACAATAACTATCATAACTATTATAACTATTAATTGCTTTCTAATTATGTTATATTAAATAATTTTGGGCAGCAAGGTAGCACAGTGGATAGAGTGCTGGGCCTGGAGTCAGGAAGACTCATCTTCTGAGTTCAAATGTGACTTCAGACACTTACTAGCTGTGTTACCCTGGACAAGTCACTTAACCCTGTTTGCCTCAGTTTCCTCATCTGTAAAGAGAGCTGGAGAAGGAAATGGCAAACCGCTCTATTATCTTTGCCAAGAAAATCCTCAAATGGGGTTATGAAGAGTCAGATGTGACTGAAAAATGACTGAACAACAACAAATTAAATTATCAACAGGATCACAGAATCCAAATAGGAAGAAAACTCAGGTGTCATCTAGTCCAACCCATGTCTTCTGACACTAACTGCGATACCTTCTGCAAATCTCTTAACCTCCCTGGGCTTCAGTTTTACCATGTGTAAAATAAATACATTAGACTAGATGTCCTCTGAGGTCTTTTCAGGGCCTAATCTGACGTCCTAGATTCTTGTCCTTGATCCTATTATAGCCTCCATACTACAAATAAGAATTCTTTCTTATAACATTCCTAACTGGTTGTCACTTGAAGGTCTCTAGTAAGGGCTTACTGCTCTCTGCTAAGGCAGCCTGTTCCACTTTGGTATAACTCTAATGTTTAGAAAATCGTGTTTTGTTTTTTTTTCTTTTTTACTTCCATCCTAAATCTTTCTCTTTAGAACTTTTATCCATTGCTCCTAGTTTTGCCTTCTGGCATTTCACAGACCAAGTTTAATCCCTCTTCTCCCTGACCACCCTTCAAATACTTAAAAACATGCCTCAACTCTATCCACACTAAGTTTTCTCTTCCCCAAGCTAAACATCTCCAGCTTCTTTAATCAATACTCATATAGCATTATCTCCCCCTAGCCATCCTAGTTGCCGTGCTTTTTCTAGCTTGTCAATCTCTTTTAAAATATGTTATCTATAATTCAACTTAATACTCCAGATATGATCAGATTAAAACATACTAGACTTCCCTTTGTCTATCAAAGCTTTGTATTTCCAGGTTGGTTTATCTCCCCGTCTTTCTATGATCATTTAAATCCAATTTTACCTGTATAAAAATGCTGAGTATGGAAGGATATGATTTATCTCAGGCCCCTGAAATCTTCAGTAGGGATGACCCTGGGTGTTATGATCATAGCCAATCCCAAAATAAAATTAAATTTAGATGTGTAGTTCATTTCTACTATTCCCCAGTTGACAAAAAAAAGGAACCAGGCTGGTAAAATTAAATGGAAGTGTTTTGGTAAAGTTCTGAACACCACATAGTAACAACTTTACCATGTGGTTCTAAACACTAAAATAACAATGTATTGGGTAAAGTTGCATGAAAGGAATAAAATGATTGTTTAAAAAAAAAACTTAACAGAAGGCAGTTATTTGTCAAGTCTAAGTACTGGTCAGCAGTCCCTGTAGAGTTAGGGGTCCAACAAAAAGAGGGGTCCCCGAAGAGAACAAGATAAGAATTTTCTTAGAATGGTAGCCTGGAAAAAAACTTGTTTTCAAAGTTTTGCTCTGAGTGTTAGAATTTAAACAAGGGTCTTGGATACATACTAATAAAAACTTTGTTCCGAGTTTGTATCAGCTTGACATTGACTAGATCTTGTAGGCAAGGGCTTGTTGACGACTTGTGGTTATAGATAATTTTCATGGTGTATTGAGAAGGAGGAAGTGTTGCCTGTTATACAAATGTAAGACTGAAATTGAAAGTATAAGGAAATGAGGAATAATAAAACATTGGGCATACGAAGTTTTTAAATGATTTTTTTCTATCCTGAGTGATCTATGGTTCTTTCTTCCTGTTTTTCTCCTCCTTCCCTTCCTTTCCCCTTTTGTATCTCTATTTCTCCCTCTTTCTTGATTCTGCTCTCCATAATAAAACAATATTATTTTTTGGTATGCAGAGATAACATTACTGACCTCCCATAAGTAAAGCATGCATTTTTTCTTTATTTTCCTTTTTTAAAATAGATTTTATTGCTATCTTTTGTTTTTATATTGTCTCTGTTTCCTTCTGTATCTCCCTTTCCCTTCTTAGAAAACTATCCCTTATAAAAAGTTTTTTGGTTTTTTTTGGTTAGGCAATGGGGTTAAGTGACTTGCCCAGAGTCACACAGCTAGTAAGTGTTATGTGTCTGAGGCTGGATTTGAACTCAGGTCCTCCTGAATCCAGGGCCGGTGATCTATCCACGGTGCCACCTAGCTGCCCCTAAAAATAGTTTTTAAAAGAGGAATTTTTTTTAGCAAGATCAATCGCCACATGTGGGGGGGGGATTCTGGCATTATATGCAATTTTCCACAATCATAATCCCCTACCTCTTCAAAGAAGTGGGGCAAAGGGTGGATATTTTCTCATAGATTTTCTTTCTGGTGCCAAGCTTGGTCTTTATAATTTCACATCATTCTATTTTGGTTGTTTTGTGGTCTTTGTTTTTTTGTTTTTTCCATTTCTATTCTTGCCGTCTTTGTGTATACTGTTTTCCTAGTTCTATTAAGCATATGTTTTAAC